CACGAACCACTCTCTACATTAAGACGTTGCTCCTTTTTAAAACTTACTCCACTCACCTTGAAAATATGCCCCCTCGTTTTGAACACCCCTACCCTAAGGAAAATACCTTTGGTGTTCACCTTGTCCACAGCCCTCATGATTTTATAAACCTCTATAAGGTCACCAGTCCACCAGCAAGTATGCTCAAGTCAAAAAAATCCCAGCCTATCCCTATAACTCAAATCCTCCATTCCCAGCAACATCCTGGTAAATCTTTTCTGAACCCTCTCCAGCTTAATAATATCCTCCCTATAACAGGGAGACCAGAACTGGACACAGTGCTCCAGAAGAGGCCTCACCAATGTCCTGTACAACCTCAACATGGCTTCCCAACTCCCATACTCAAAAGCCCGAGCAATGAAGTTGATATCAGAGTCGAGCAAAACCACTTGACCCTGGGATTGAAATAATGAGCTGGTATCCGGCAGTTTCCACAGTAGGTCGGGGTGTGTTCCACATGTGAAGTGCATGCTGTGTGGGAGACATATCTCCTGACCACTCCCTCTGGTTTTAAGGATACCCTTGATAGCCCCTGACTGTGCCCAACAACAAGGTCACTTTCGAAGGCCACCCTATTAATCCCTTTCTGAAGGGAAGACAGAGCTCCAATCAAAATCACACGCCGATGCTCCACATTCCCAAGAATATTGATTGATTGATTTATTATCATGTGTACCTAAGTACAGTAAAAAGCTTTGTTTTGCGAGCAGTACAGGCAGATCATAGTAAGCATGGACATACAGATCATAGGGTGAGGGGAAAAAAACTAGACAGAGGCATACAGGTTACACTGCACAGGGTATGCGCTTGGCAAGATCAACGTTGGCATGATCAACGTTATTTGAAGTTAGACAGTCCATTAATCAGTCTAATAACAGCAGGGAAGAAGCTGTCCCTGAACCTCCTGGTGTATGTGTTCAGGCTTCTGTATCTTCTGCCTGATGGAAGAGGCTGTAGGAGGTCATTACCAGGGTGCGATGGGTCTTTGATGATGTTAACCACCTTTCCACATCAGCGAGCCGTGTAAATAGAGTCCATGGATGGAAGGTTGGCTTCTGTAATGGTCTGGGCTGTGCACACCACCTTCTGTAGTTTCTTATGGTCCTGGGCAGAGCAGTTGCCATACCAGGCCGTGATGCACCCGGACAGTTTGCTTTCAATGGGGCATCTGTAGAAGTTGGTAAGGGACCTTATGGATATGCCGAATTTTCTGAGCCACCTGAGGAAGAAGAGGCGTTGTTGTGCCTCCTTGACTGTCACATCTACGTGGGAAGTCCGGGGCAGGTTATACAAACCTTGGTTAAGGTCCCTGTAATCCCTGGAGCTTTGGGGAATGATCCTGACTTGTGCTCCCTGCACTGCACATTTATTCAGTGTTCAGCTGAGGGGCCCAGGCTCCCCACGCGTGGTCTACCTGGGGTTTTTGTACAAACTTCCTAATCCAAGATTTCCAGAGCAGATGGGAACTGAATGCTGGCTCAGAGATAGGGACAACTACCTACTGTGCCACAAGCCCCTGCTAGGATTTCTGTATCATCTGCTCCGTTAGAACCTAACCCTGTAGTTAAAGAGGCTAACATTCCATTTAGCTTTTTGTAAACTACATTGTCGCTACTTATTTACTAAAATGTGTACGTTGACTCCTCAATCCCTTCAGACTTCCACTCCTTTTTTGTCAGCTATTTTCATAATACTCACATTTTTGGTCCTGAATGTCTAACCTTACAGTCAACTCTGACGCTATCTCTGACATTGGCCATTCATTTAAGCTGTCACTGTCCCATAAATTGCTATCTGCGGCACTTAACCCTGCATTGTTAGTATACTTAGCTACACCATAGATCATAGAATCCCTACAGTGTGGAAACAGGCCCTTTGGCCCAACCAGTTCACGCCGATGCCTCAGAGCATCCCACCCAAACCCATTCCCCTGTAACCCAACTGATCTACACATCCCTTAGCACTACGGGCAATTTAGTGCGGCCAATCCACCCTACCCTGCACATCTTTGGACTGTGGGAGGAAACCAGAGGAAACCCACGCAGACACCGAGAATGTGCAAAGTCCACACAGACAGTCACCTTACGGTGGAATCAAACTTGGGTCCCTGGTGCTGTGAGGCAGCAGTGCTAACAACTGTGCAACTGTGGTTAGTAAGCGCCGTGAATAGTTGAGGCGCCATTAATAGTCTTTTTAGACCACTAACTGTTTTGTTCCTATTTAAGATATACCCATTGGCCCTATAACTGTGTAGGCAGCAGAATATCATTCCCAAACAATGATTTGCTTCCAAACTCGTGAAATTTACTGTTAGCTGGTCGCTAATGTATTATATTTGGCTTCCCAGAAAGGGTAGATAAGGGTATTGTAGTGGGATATAATGTTTTGCAAGTTCCTAAAGCCTCCAATGAAGCAAAAATGTTTTAAGACTGGAGGTCTGTGACCAGCAGTGTGCCACAAGGATCAGTGCTGGGTCACCTGCTTTCTGTCATTTATATAAATGATTTGGATGTGAAAGTAGGAGGTATGGTTAGTAAGTTTGCAGATGACACCAATATTGGAGGTGTAGTGGACAACGAAGAAGATTATCTCAGAGTACAACAGGATCTTGATCAGATGGGTCAATGGCCCAAGGAGTGGCAGATGGAGTTTAATTTAGATAATGTGAGGTGCTGCATTTTGGAAAGGCAAATCAGGGCAGGACTTATACACTTAATGGTAAGGCCCTGGGCAGTGTTGCTGAACAAAGAGACCTTGGTGTGCAGGTTCGTTGTTCCTTGAAAGGTAGAATCGAAGGTATACAGGAAAGTGAAGAAGGCGTTTGGTACACTGGCCTTTATTGGTCAGTGCATTGAGTATAGGAGTTGGGAGCTCATGTTGTGGCTGTGGTGAGGCCACTTTTGGAATACTGCATTCAATTCTGGTCCCCTGCTATAGGAAAGAGGTTGTGAAACTTGAGAGGGTTCAGAAAAGATTTACAAGGATGTTGCCGGGATTGGAGGGTTTGAGCTATAGGGAGAAGCTGAATAGGCTGGGGCTATTTTCCCTGGAGCGTCGGAGGCTGAGGGGCGACCTTATAGAGGTTTATAAAATCATGAGGGGCATGGATAGAGTGAATAGCCAAGGTCTTTTCCCCAGGGTAGGGGTGTCCAATACTAGAGGGGCATAGGTTTAAGGCGAGAGGGGGAAAGATATAAAAGGGATCTAAGGGGCAACATTTTCACACAGAGGGTGGTGTGTGTATGGAACGAGCTGCCAGAGGAAGTGGTGGAGGCTGGTACAATTACAACATTTAAAAGGCATCTGGATGGGTACATGAATAGGAAGGGTTTAGAGGGATGTGGGCCAAATGCTGGCAAATGGGACTAGATTAATTTAGGATATCTGGTCAGCATGGACATGTTGGACCGAAGGGTGTGTTTTCATGTTGTACATCTCTGTGACTCTATAAGTTGCAAAGCACGTGGTGTCAGGGGACAAGAAGCAGAATTAATTGTCAGTTTTGGAAGCACTGTTAGTCAAAATCTTTGAAAACCATATGAATTTAGGAAGCAGGATACAATTTTGTAAATTTGATGCGTTCCCCGGAGACCAAAGAGGAACTGTGTCCAATGGGACAGACTTTGAACATATCTAGCAGCTCAAAACTGAGCATCTGAGAGTCACTGTGGGCCATCAACAGCAGCAGAATTGTACTCCAGCACAATCTGTAACCCCATGGCCCGGCGTATCCCCCACTCAACCATTACCATCAAGCCAGGGGATCAACCCTGGTTCAAGGGAGAGTGCAGGAGGGCATTCCAGGAGCAGCACCAGGCATACCTGAAGATGAGGTATCAACCTGATGAAGCCACCAAACAGGACTACTTGTACACCAAACAGCAAAAGCAGCAAGTGATAGAGAGAGCTAAGCGATCCCACAACCAACGGATCAGATCTAAGCTCTGCAGTCCTGCCACATCCAGTTGTGAATGGTGGGGGAGAATTAAACAACTCACTGGAGGAGGAGGCTCCACAAATATCCCCATCCTCAATGATGGAAGAGCCCAGCACATCAGTGCAAAAGATAAGGCTGAAGCATTCGCAGCAATCTTCAGCCAGAAGTGCCGAGTGGATGATCCATCTCGGCCTCCTCCAGTGGTCCCCAGCTTTACAGATACCAGTCTCCAGCCAATTCGATTCACTGCACGTGATATCAAGAAACGGTTGGAGACACTGGGTATTGCAAAGGCTACGGGCCTTGACAACCTTCCAGCAATAGTACTGAAGACTTGTGCTCCAGAACTTGCCGCTCCCCTAGCCAAGCTGTTCCAGTACAGTTACAACACTGGGATCTACCCGACAATGTGGAAAATTGCCCAGGTATGTCCTGTACACAAAAAGCAGGACAAGTCCAACCCGATCAATTATCGCCCCATCAGTCTCCTCTCGATCATCAGTAAAGTGATGGAAGGTGTCAGTAACAGTGCTATCAAGCAGCTCCTGCTCAGCAATAACCTGCTCAGTGACGCCCAGTTTGGGTTCCGCCAGGGCCACTCAGCTCCTGACCTCAAACAAAAGAGCTGAATACCAGAGAGTGAGGTGAGAGTGTCAGCCCTTGACATAACGGCTGCATTCAACTGAGTGTGGCATCAAGGAGCCCTGGCAAAACTGTAATCAGTGAGTATCAGGGGGCAAACTCTCTGCTGGTTAGGGTCATACCTGACACGTAGGAAGATGGTCGTGGTTGTTGGAGGTCAATCATCTCAGCTCCAGGACATCTCTGTAGGAGTTCCTCAGGGTCATGTCCTAGGCCCAACCATCTTCAGTTGCTTCATCAATGACCTTCCCTCCATCATACTACTATAGAAAGGATATTATTAAACTAGAAAGAGAGCAGAAAAGATTTACTAGGATGCTACCTGGACTGGAAGGTTTGAGTTATAAACAGAGGCTGGATAGACTGGGACTTTTCTCCCCAGGGCATAGGAGACTGAGGGGTAACCTTATAGAGGTTTATAAAATCGTGAGGGGCATAGATCAGGTAGATGGGGAAAGCTATTCCCCATTGTAGGGGAGTCTAAAACTAGAGGGCATAGGTTTAAGGTGAGAAGGGAGAGATACAAAAGGGCCAGAGGGGCAATTTTTTCACACAGACAGTACTGAGTGTCTGGAACAGGCTGCCAGAGATAGTGGTGGAGGTGAGTACAATTTTGTCATTTAAGAAACATTTGGACAGGTACATGGATGGGTTAAGTATGGAGGGATTTGGAGCAAATGCAGGTAAATGGGATTGGTTTAAATTGTAAAAACTGGGCGGCATGGACAAGTTGGACCGAAAGGTCTGTTTCAATGCAGTAAACCTCTATGACTCTATAAGGTCATAAGTGGGGATGTTCGCCGATGATTGCACAACGTTCAGCACCGTTCACGACTCCTCAGATACTGAAGCAGTCCATGTTCAAATGCAACAAGATCTGGACAATTTCCAGGCTTGGGCTGACAAGTGGTAAGTGACATTCACGCCACACAAATGCCAGGCACTGACCATCTTCAACAAGAGACAATCTAACCACCGCCCCTTGACATTCAACGGTGTTACCATCACTGAATCCCCCACTGTCAACATCCTGTGTGTTATCATTCACCAGGAACTCAACTGGGCTCACCACATAAACACAGTGGCTACAAAAGCAGGTCAGAGGTTAGAAATTCGAGTAACTCATCTCCTGACCCCCCAAAGCCTGTCCAACGTCTACAAGGCACAAGTCAGGAGTGTGAGGGTATACTCCCCACTTGCCCCTGGATGGGGTCAGCTCCAACAACACTCAAGAAGCTCAACACCATCCAGGACAAAGCAGCCCCTGATTGATTGGAACCACATCCATTCCCTCCACCACCGATGCTTAGTAGCAGCAGTGTGTGCCATCTACAAGATGCTGTGCAGAAATTCACCAAGGATCCCTAGACAGCACCTTCCAAACCCACGACCACTTCCAAATAGAAGGACAAGGGCAGCAGATGCATGGGAACGCTGAGCCATTCACCATCCTGACTTGGAAATATATTGCCATTCTACCACTGGAAATCCTCAACATCATTGCCCCTACAGCTTATGGATTCCAGCAGTTCAAGAAGGCAGCAGCTCACCACTACCTTCTCAAGGGCAACTAGGGACAGACAATAAATATTGGCCAGCAATACCCTCATCCCACAAACGAATTTTTAAAAGATACCAAAAATTAACCCCACATGAGAAAACCCAGGCAGACACGGGGAGAATGTACAAACTCCACACAGATGGTCGCCCGAGCAGTGGGGGGGATGCGATCAAACCTTGGTCCCTGGCACTGTGAGGCAGCAGTGCTAACCACTGAGCCACTTTGCAAAAAGGAAATCATGTTTGACCAAGTGACTGAAGTTTATTTTGAGTGGGTAACATGCTAGAGCTAAAGGGGAATTGGTGGATCTATTGTACCTAGATTTGCAGAATACATTTGATGGATTTGCAGCACACATCAAAGATTATTATATAAAGTGAAGTCTCATGGTGCAGGGTTACATATTGGCCTGGTCAAAAGGTTGTGGAAAGCTAATGGTAAGCGTAAACGGGTCTTTGTTTGGTGGGCAAGCTCGAAAGAGTAGTTTGTCAAGGGGATCAATGCCGGGATTGAAGCACTGTCCAACTTATATAAATAACTTAGATGAAGGGAATTAAAGTTGGATTTGATTTATTTTTGTCACATGTACCTAGATACAGTGAAAAGTTTGTTTTGCGTGCAGTACAGGCAGACCATACCATACAAAGTGCATTAGGGTACTAGACAGAGCGAGGAATACAATGTTACAGCTGCAGAGAAGGCGCATAAAGAGCGAGATCAACATTAAATGTAAAATTTGAGAGGTCCGTTCAGAAGTCTAATAACAGCGAGGAAGAAGCTGTTCTTGAATCTGTTGGTCCGTGTGTTTCAGCTTTTGTATCTTCTGCCCGATGGAAGAGATTATAAATGGGGTGGGGGAGGGGTCTTGTGATGATGTTGGCTGCCTTCCTGAGGCAGGGGGAAATATAGATGGAGCCAATGGATGGGAAGTTGGTTTGTGTGATGGACTGGGCTGTGTTCACAACTTTCTGTAGTTTCTTACGGTTCTGGGCAGAGTAGTTGCCAAACCAGGCCATGCTGCATCCGAATAGAATGTTTCCTATGATGCATCTATAAAAGTTGGTGAAGGTCCTTATGGACATGCCGAATTTTCTAAGCCGCTTGAGAAAGGAGAGGCGTTGTTGTGCATCGATGTGGATGGACCAGGACAGATTGTTGGCAACCGTCGCTCCCAGGAACTTGGCTCTCTTGACCATCTCCACCTCAGCTCCGTTGATGCGGACAGGGATGAGCTCTCCACTCCGCTTCCTGAAGTCAATGACCAGCTCCTTTCGTTTTGCTGACGTTGAGGGAGAGATCTTGTTGTCTTTAAACCACGTCGCCAAACACTCCATCTCGTTGCTGTATTCCGTCTCATCATTGCCTACAACGGTGGTGTCATCAGTGGGCTTGTAAATGGAGTTGGGGCAGAGTGGACTACAGTAAGCAGCTGAGTACACAGCTTTGCGAAGCAGTGGCGTTGAGCTTGGCTGTCGCATTTGCTAATGACCAAACATTGATAGAAAATTAAGGTGTGACAAGGACGTAAGGGGAGTACAAAACAAACATAGGTTAGTGCGTTTTGGAAATGCAAATCAGGGGGCAGGAACAAAAACAAAGTTGCTGGAAAAGCTCAGCAGGTTTGTTTTTGTTCCTGATTTATAGAATCCGCAGTTCTTTCAGTTTTTAAATCAGGGCAGAACTTGTACGCTTAATGGTAAGGTCCTGGGGAGTGTTGCTGAACCAAGAGACCTTGGGGTGCAGGTTCATAGTTCCTTGAAAGTGAGTTGCAGGTGGACAGGGCGGTGAAGAAGGTGTTTGGTACGCTTACTTTATTGGTCAGTGCCTTGAGTAAAGGAGTTGGGAGAGTCATGTTGCAGCTGTATTGGTGAGGCCACTTTTGGAATACTGCATTCAATTCTGGTCTCCCTGCTGTAGGAAGGATGTTGTGAAACTTGAAAGGGTGCAGAAAAGATTTACAAGGATGTTGCCAGGGTTGGAGGGTTTAGCTATAGGGAGAGGCTGAATAGACTGGGGCTAGTTTCCCTGGAGCGTCAGAGGCTGAGGGGTGACCTTTATAGAGGTTTATAAAATCATGAGGGGCATGGATAGAGTGAATAGTCAAAGTCTTTTCCCCAGGGTAGGGGAGTCCAAAACTAGAGGGGCATAGGTTTAAGGTGAAAGGGGAAAGATTTAAAAGGGACCTAAAGGGCAACTTTTTCACACAGAAGGTGGTGCGTGTATGGAATGAGCTGCCAGAGGAAGTGGTGGGGGCTGGTATAATTACAGCATCTAAAAGGCACCAGGATGGGTACATGGGATTTCAAGACTAGGGGCACGTTTTTAAGGTGAGAGGAGAGAGATTTTAAAAAAAAAAGACATGAGGGGCAAATTTTTTACACAGAGAGCAGTTCACATGTAGAATGAACTTCCAGAGGAAGTGGTGGATGTGGGTACAGTTACAATGTTTAAAAGACATTTGGATAAGTACATGAATAGGGAAAGGTTTGGAGGGATATGGGCCAGGAGCAGGCAGGTGGGACTAGTTTAGTTTGGGATTATGGTCGGTACAGACTGGTCGGTCTGAAGGGTCTGTTACTGTGCCCTGTGACTCTGAGTGGGAAGGATTTGGAGGGATATGGGTCAGATGCTGGCAAATGGGATTAGGATATCTGGTTAGGCATGGATGAATTGGACTGAAGGGTCTATTTCTATGCTGTACATCTTTACGACTCTAAGTGAATGGGCAAAGATGTGGCAAATGGCAGTTTTGGCAGGAAGACTGAAAAAAAATAACGAGACCTAAAAGTTGAGAGCTTGCAAGCCTCTGAGATGCAGAGGGATCTGGGTGCCTTAGTGCATGAGCTGCAAGTGGTGCAGATACGGCAAGGAATTAGGCAGACTAATTAGAAACGTTGCTGGTTAATGTGAGGGGAAGTGAAAACAGAAGTCAGGAGGTTCTGCTTCAGTGACACAGGCCTCTACATTTGAAGGAAGCATATCAATTCTTTGGAGGTGGTTCAGAGAAGGTTTACCGGACTCATACCTGGAATGGGAGGGTTGCATTTAGAAGATGCGATGAACGTTTGAAATCTTGAGGGATCTCACCAGAGTGGATGGGCAGAGGATGTTTGCTCTTGTTGGAGAATCTAGGACGAGGGGTGTCACTGTTTTGGAAAGTAAAATCAGCCAGTTAAGAGATGAGACAAATTTTTCTGAGGTCATGAGACATTGGAACTTTCCCTTACTGAAAAGGCGGTGGGTGTAGAAGCTTTGAGCATTTTTTTTAAAAGATTATTGATAAGAAAGGAGGTGATAGGTTGTCTGGGTAGGCAGGGAATGTGGATTTGAGGTTGCAATAAAGCAGAAAATGCTCTAATCGCTAGACTATTAATTTGGAGACTTGGGTAACGTTCTGGGGACCTGGGTTCAAATCCCGCCACAGCAGATGGTGGAATTTGAATTCAGTAATAATCTGGGATTAAGGGTCTAATGATGACCACGAATCCATCATCCGTCAGAAAAGGCCCTTCAGGGAAGGAATCTGTCATCTACACCTGGTCTGGCCTCCATGTGATTCCAGACCCACAGTGTTGTCTCTTAACATGGGGACGGCTCAGCGGTTAGCACCGTTGCCTCACAGCACCAGGGACATGGGTTCGATCCCACCCTTGGGTGACTGTCTGTGTGGAGTTTGCACATTCTCCCTGTGTCTACGTGGGGTTTCCTCTGGGTGCTCCGGTTTCCTCCCACAATCCAAAGATGTGCAGGTTGGGGTGGATTGGCCATGCTAAATTGTCCCGTAGTGCCCAGGGATGTGCAGGTTAGGGTGGATTGGCCGTGCTAAATTGTCCCATAGTGCCCAGGGATGTGCAGGTTAGGGTGGATTGGCCATGGAGAAATGCAGCGTTATGGGGATAAGGTAGGGATAGGTAGGATGCTCTTCGGAGGGTCAGTGTGGATTCAATGGGCCGAATAGCCTGCTTCCACATTGTAGGGATTCTATAACTGCCCTCTAGGGATGGGCAATAAATGTTAATCTAACCAGTGACACTATGGTTTCTGAATGAACACAATCAATCAACCACTATCATATTGCATGTGGAACAGGATGACTAGTCTACTCCTCCCCATTTGAACATTGATGGGGGCGGAATAGACAGTGATGGGTTTTTTTCCAATGAGTGACTGACCAGGAATCTCTGTGCGCGTATGTGTGTGTCGGAAACATTTCCGGATTGATATTTAATCCCTTTTGTCTCCTTTATAAGCAGCTCTTTCTTGGTGGTCAAGTCTTGAGGTAGGATTCAACCCCAGATCCCACCCCCCCACTGGCCCAGACTTTTGAGGGCACGACCCTCCGCAAGCTCTCCTCTATTAGACAGCCATAACTAAATCCAAAAAGATGATTATTGAGTGGGACAGGGTTGTGCATTTATTTGGTGCCAACATTCTGTTTCTCTAACACTTAACGCCTTGTTTGGCTAAACTCATAGTGAGTTCCAGCCTTTTTATCTCCTGTTTAATTTTCCCGGAATGCTTTATTTTCCCAAGGAAGGGGAGGCAGACAGAATCCATTCATTTCCTGAGCACAGGCTCCCAGCTTTTACTTTCAGTATTGCCTGCACGATGTCTGTTTATTTATAGCTTCACTCCCGACTACAGTTGTGCAAATCTTTTGTATCAATCTTGAAATCCCCTGCAATTCCTCGCTACTACAAGTCTACAATTTTTTAACCACTTAGTTACATTTCTGCATCTCACATCTCTACACAACAACGTTATGATCACTGTTCCTTACCTCCAGGTTAGTACTCCAAGCTGTCTGCTTTCTCCATTTTCCCAGCTATGGCCAGGGCTCCTCCGCTGAAAGGTCTCCAGACTAAGTTAATAACTCGATCTTTTTCTCTCTCTACAGATATTGCTTGACCTGTTGAGTGTTTCCAACATTTAAGGTCCTTTCTTTGAAATTGCAGGTTTCAAAGCATTGGCAAATGTGCTGTCTTTCTAAAGGTAGCCTTATTGTTGTGCTATTCCTGTGCTGGAAGGGTCTGAAGACAGTGTTCAGGGAGCTTTACTCTGTATCTAACCCTGTGCTGTCCCTGTCCTGGGAGTGTTTGATGGGGGGGACACAGTGTAGAGGAAGCTTGACTCTGTATCCAACCTTGCGATGTCCCAGTCCTGGGAGAGTTTGATGGGGGACAGTGTAGAGGAAGTTTTATGTTCAGTTGATGAGAGTAGAGTGAGGCAGACTGCATGAGCAGGTCACTAGATTTAGATGGGGAGGGATATTGAAAAGTTTGAGGAGTGAGCCGGGGTTGGAGGAAGGGGTGTTCGTTGGAACTTGGACTGGCTGGTTATAATGGGGAGTACCCACTCGTACAAGCTTCCAGTTTGGATCATGCCCTTTGACAGGAAGAGCAGAGGAGCTGACTATTGTTCAAATGGTGTAAGATTGCAGGAAGCTGCAGTGCAGAAAGATTGGTGGGTTTCCTCAAACACACATCACAAAAAGCTGCCATCAGTTAGTAGGGAAGGCAAATGGAATGCTGGCTCCCATTCCAAAAGAAATGGAGAATTAAAATCGGGAGATCTTGCAAAAAACTATGCAAGGTACAAAGCAGATCATGGTAGGAAAGCTGTGAACAGTTTTGGTCCCTTTGTCTAAGGACAGAGAAACTGGGAACAGAGGCAAACTGGAGAAGGGTTCACTGGGTTTGTGGGAATGGAGGGGCTACCTTATGAGAGGTAGAGTAGACGGGGCATGTGCTCGTTGGGGTTCAGCAGAATGAGAGGCGACCTTATTGAAACATACAGGATTCGTAGGGGACTTGACAGGCTAGATGCAGAAGGGGCTGTTTCCCCAGAGAGTCTTGAGGCTAGAGATAGGGAGGGGTGTAGGGGCCAGAGGAGGTGACAGATACAGGGAGGGGGTGTAGGGGCTGGAGGAGGTGACAGAGATAGGGAGGGAGTGTAGGGGCTGGAATGGGTGACAGAGATCGGGAGGGGGTGTAGGGGGCTGGAAGAGGTGACAGAGATAGGAAGGTGATGTAGGGGGCTGGAGGAGGTGACAGAGATAGGGAGGGGGTGTAGGGGCTGG